CAGAGCCTGGAGTTAATGGATGTAACAGCATTGGTTGGGATGAACTGCTACTCTATCCATCAATAATATATGGAATATGGTTATCATACTATGTACTAATAGTAAGTTATCTACTGGTACTAATGAGTTGACATTCATAACTAATGTATAGGTGTTCTATTGGAAGGAAAAGATTATAAAAGAGAAGAAATACATGACAGCATTCACAATAATGTCACAAGAGAAGAAAGGCGGTCTTATATATTTAATTACTAACTGTCTGGGGCTAAAGTATCAGAAACAAATGTACTTTGTTGCTTACACAGTAATGGGATGCCTCTTCTTCATACTAGCATACTTATGCTACATATCGTAAGTACATGCACCCACTACTGACTGAGACTCTGTTTACACTAATTCATTTTCATATGTAAACGGAGACTTTTTGATTCTGATACAGCTTTTGTTTACACTAATACATGAAAAAGCATCCCTATTCCAAGCAAAATGTAAACGGATACCAAAGTGGATACTTCTATAAACGAATGATAAATCTTATGAAAGCACAGCTGCTCAGTGGATTAGTGTAAACACCTGAAACGAATAATAGCAAAAACAATCCGGATTCATTGAAGTGGATTAGTGTAAACGGGGTCTGACTGTAGAGAGATTGACTGATTAATTTTTTATGATTTGCAAAACTCAACTACCTCATCTTGTTCACTATCTTATTTTTAGTTTAGTGTATAATTACATTTTCTTTCTGGGGTTTCTCCTGGTTGCCTGTTACAATGGAGCTACTTTCTATATCAAGGTTGTTGGGAAAGAATATTATAAAAATGAAGAAAAGAAAAACGAATGAATTATACAGTTTATACTGAGTAGCTAATATGTCATTTTGTTATTATCCCAGTGCATCATTAATTGAATTACAATTTATTTCAATGTGTTAACCAGTGTCATCATATAGACCACTGTACTATGTATGGAGTTGTTTTGAAGTATAGTCGTACAGTGAAGTACCATAAACTCCTATAATACAATATTAAAGTAACTAAATAAATAATAGTAATTCAATTATAGTTTCACATAGCCAGCCTCTGGGGTCACAGGCTGACTACGTGCAAGACTGATTTAATAACAGTCAAGACATGTAGTTGGAGCTGTTTTCTGGTTGCTATCCCTTCTATAAGTTAGTAATAGTCAGCCTAATTTGACTCATATACTATAGTGTTGAAGGAATTTGGCCCTTAATAATTGAAGGAAAGGAGAAATAGAGAGAAAGCCAAGAAAGGGAATGTTTGCTAACAAAGATAGCAATGGTAAGTTCTAGATAGCAGCAATTGATACACTAATGATACCTCATTAGGAGAGACTGGTACTGATGCTGTATACATTAGGAACCAGTTTGAGTATGATAGGATGCAGTCAATACATGAAGATATTGTTGCTATTGAGAGATTCCATGAGATGAAGGACTCAAGGGTAGACACCATCATCTATACTGTGTTTGTTTTTGAGGCATTAGTAACAGGATTTCTAGCTGGGATGATCACTG